CCATTAACATTTCCCGTGTAAGAATTTTTAATACTTGGTGATAATATTTTGCAATTATAGTAATAAAAAAAATAGGATAAAATAATAATATTTTGAAGTTATTTTAATATCAATATCAATAATTGTTAAGTTTAATTAAAATTAATAACGGGCAATGTTAATGGTGACAATTACGTCAAAAATGTTTATTTAAATCGTAGTGCCATTTATAGATTCCCGTACCGTAAGGACGGCATTCCTTCCTCCCGTAGAAATTTTTAAGATTTATCTTTCACCGTAAAGATCTTTGACATGACCAATCACAGTGCTTGTTATGGACATGCGCTGTAAGGTGACAGCGCGTAGGCACAAAATATTTAAAATACTCTATTGTTTAGTATTATTTAAGATAGGTGTTCAGTTTATTAAATAATTTGTGTCTCTAAATAGGATATTTAGATATTGTTTATGATCAATGTCTTTCATTTTTAGAAACGTTGCTTTGTAAAACCCCGTAGTTTCCCGGTCTTGGTAAAGTGGGCAAGTCTTCCAACGTCTTGTTCGATGTTTTTTTTTTCATTATTATAATTCAACAAGCTGCCTGGGCAATTAAAATTGTGATCACTGCACTAATAAATAAATGTTTATCTTTCATATTTACACACAATGGGTAAAACGCAGAATATAAACAAAAACAAATGTCAACCATTTTAAGTTTCATCGCGCATGGTTACGGAATTTTACACGGAAATCTATAAATTGACTTTTTACAAGACGCACAAATCGTACTGGCACGACTACTGGAGGAAGGAAGGAAGGCAATCTATAATTCAAGCTTAAGAGTTTATTTTACGATAAAACTAAAACAAACCAACCAAACCAACCAACCCAACCCAACCCAACACTGTTTGACAAAGGAACAACAAATTTATGAAATAAAAAAAGTTTGACAACTTCTAGTAGATTTTATGTTACGATAAAACTAAAACAAAGCAACCAAAACAACCAACCCAACCCAATACTTTTTAACAAAGAAATAACAAATTTATGAAATAAAAAAAATAAAAAAAGTTCGACAACCTTTGAGTATGGTACCTCTCGCATGCCAAGCGACCGCCCTACCATCTGAGCTATCTAGCTTGACATCAATTTTAGAACGCTCGGGGAACAAAAACGGATTATTATTATTATGACGTAACTAACGTGCCTTTAACATTTAGAATCGCGGCACGTTAGCGTGCCTCTAGTTAAAGCGAAGTTTTTAACTATTATATTATATACCTCATTTTTTGTGGTTTGCCTGAAGATGGTATCTTAAATACCGAAACTAGTCCCAAATAAAAATTATTAAACAAGCAATGAAGTATACATCTTATTTAAATTCAAAAAATTCAATATTTAAACCTTGTTAAAAAACCTAATGAAAATTAATTAAGTCGGATAATTTTTTGCTTCATTTAAAAAAACACTTAAATTTACTCAAAAAGTATTAACAAAGTAATGTGTACTCTGAAAGTATACCTAAAAAACAGTGAGCAGAATTCAATGCTAAAACATTAAGGGTGTTATATTCTAAATAAGAAAGTTGATATCATTCCAGTTAAACCAACCTCTGTATTAATGTCTCAGCTCTGACACAATAAGCGTGGAACATGAGGGAAAAGTTGTTAATTACCCTACATTTGTTGCAAATATATTTAACGAATTTTTCACTTCTGACATTCCAGGTTCGGACTCTGAGGCAATCAACTACAATGTTGATAGAAAAACACCGCACAGCATGTTCTTGTGAAACGTGTCTGAGGCGGAAGTTAAAAGCTCGGCTGGTCCTGACGGAACCAGTAATATACTGGGGACAATTGCTGAAGAAATCACACCAGTTGTTATGAACTGGATTAACGGCTCATTCGAAACTGGAATCTATCAAACTAAAAAGAGCGAGAGTAATCGTTTTACATAAAAAAGGGTCAAAATCTGAGGTAGGCAACTATAGACAGATTTATAATCTTTCAGTATTAGCGAAAATTATTGATACAATTATGTGTCCTCGGTTAACAAACTATTTGATAAATTTAATTTACTATCCTCCTCTCACTTTAGGTTTAGGTCTGGTTTGGGCACATGTCATGCACTTTTTAAAGCTTTAGACTTTGTAATGGAGAATGTAGATGACGGTAAATATATTGTCGCTGGTTTATTTTTTAATATGACAAGAGCGTTCGATGTCATCGATGTTGAACACTGTTAATTAAGTTGAATCATATGGCGTCAGTGGAAAAGTCCAAAAGTGGTTCAGATCGTATTTGACCAACCGAAGGCAATTCGTGGAAATAACTGCGGACACTGGACAACAGGTTAGGGCCAAATTTTTCTCTAAGGAAAAAAAGGTGAATAGGGGTACCCCCCAGGGAGGAATTTTATCGCCCCTCTTATTTTTTAATATTTAGTAATGAACTTTTAAAATATACTCTAGACAGAATACCCGCAAAATTCAAAACATTCTGCCAATTATTATAATAATAATTATATTATATGCAGACGTTGGTCAAGTCCGATCTGGATAGTTTTCTGGAATTCCTTAGTTGTCTTGCCAGCATAATGCAACAATGGAGTAAGGAAAACTCATTAATACTTAATCCGCAGAAATCTGCGGGAGTTAAATTAAACAAAACTCAAAATGATAGTTTTGTTGGTTTATTGCTCAAAAAAATCTATTAGTATTTAAGATCAGTCTACTATGCACTTATTCACTCCCACCTTCAATATTTGGCGGCCATATGGTACTCAACACATGAAAAAGTACTAAAACCAATCAAATCTTTATTGCTTACCCGTTAGATATCATACAGAGGATTTGTATAGAAACTTTAACATTATGCCTTTGGACAATATCTATAAATATCAAGTTTGTTATATTTGATTGTTTCGACCTTTACTTGATGAAACTTCATATTATTATTATTATGTAGATATAAAAACAAATATGTTTTGAAAGTTTCACGTGTTTTATTCACTTTTGACAATTGTTTCGTCACACAGTGACTTCTTCAGAATGTATTTATAACTTATTATTAAGTGAGTTTATATAAACACAATGTTTTATGGTACAAAAATGTTTTTTGTTCCTTTATACAGAATGTTGTAAATAATAAAAAACATTCTAATCTAAAAGTAATGTTTAGAAATCATACCAGAAAGTTAATAGTTTAGACTTGATACAAATTGGCTCCAGGTATGGACAAAACTATTATTTTGTATAGAGGCTTAATTACATATAACACCTTGCCTGACAATGTCAAATCCTTAAATAATGTTAAGGCTTTAAAAAATTTCTTTCATCCAAGATAAATATAAATGTTTGTGGAGTATGTTGGATGCATGTATCCAACATGTACATATATTATAATAACCATAAGTATAAGTGTGTTTGTATAATAAGTTTATTTATTTTGTTAGTATATCTGTACAGATTGTGACTGAAATGTGATATTTATAAATGTGATAATGGTAATATGTAGTCAGTTAAGTTCAAATTTTGAAATTGTATTTAATACTAAATATGTATCGTGTATATAGAGATGTCCCTCTATAAACAAGTTCTCATTGTTTCTTGGGATGAATAAAGTATTTTATTATTATTATTATTATTATTACAGAGGTATCGCAATTTAAGCTATTGGGACTGTTTGTGGATGATAATATTTCATGGGACATGCATATTAATCATATAGCTAGAAAACTAAACAGCTGTAATTATGCTTTACTTAATCTACGAACAAAGTCCCACATTGAATATGGCACAATAATCTGGGGTGGCGTGATACATGTTCATAGACTTTTAACAATTCAGAAAAAAAATTTAGAACATTGTGTGGAGAAAAAAACTTAGATGTCATTGTACACCATGGTTTATTAAAAATAAAATAATGACTGTTTTTACACTTGTTGTTTCAATTGTTGCTCAATTCAAATCGAAGTTCATTACGAACGGTGATTTAAACTCAATAGCTACTAAAAACTCTTACTTATTAAGTATTCCTATACACGCTTGGCTAAGTTTAAAAAAGTAGCAGATTGGCATAAAAGCTTATAATAAATTACCAAAAAATATTTAAAACTAAAGATAAAACAGTTAAAGTTTAAACTAAAATATTTTTAAGGAAAACATTCAATTTTCTTAATTTCTGTTATAAAATTGCTGTGTGCAGTCTTGGTTGCATAGTATGTACCGATTGCGGCAAAGGCCACGTCGTTTGACGGTGTGGTTCACCTGATGTTCTTACATCTCGCCTCTGTTGGCTTACCCACCAAGCATATAAGCTCAGGGAGTCCTTTGTTTTGAGTGTGTTCCACTACACCAAGTTGCCTGACACTGATGAGACCCAATATAGGTCAAAACAGCTGTCTGTCAGTATTTGAAATTGGTGGAACACACTCAAAACAAAAAACTTTGGCGAGTTGTAGGTTCAATTTTTTCTTACAAAATCCATTTTACTCCATACAAGAATTTCTAAACTGTGATATAACTATTTTTGATATAAGTTAATCTTTTAACTAATTATGTGATAGTTTAATTTGGTCTATAAAGGACCTATATTTTTTTTAAATTAATTTTAAGTATTTTGACGATTGCTTGTAATTTATTCTGTAAATTTAAGAAGCAAAATTAAGTATGAATATGAATAGGTATCTTGCCATTGACCATTTTGACCACACAATGCAGCCCCAGGTTTTAGGTTTGCATTCCCATTACTCTTTAAAACCTGGTGTGCACAGAGGCTGCATTGCATGCTACAAATGGTCAATTGGAAAGCACCTTTTATATAAGTAGTCCCCTCCAAAGAATATATAGTCAGTGGCAGATTTAATGGGTAGGAAATGCGCTGTTGCCGCCTGAGCACCCCAACAGAAAGGCTTTAGGCCCCCCAGCTGAAATGTAAATTTCTTTAACCATGAATTTCAATCTTTAAAACTTAGCAGCCTGGGCCTTTTTTCTTAAATCCACCATTGTATATAGTGACTTACATTTCATTATCAATGGTTTTTGTTAAAGTTACTTCGGCTCCATTTAAATTAGCTTTAAATCCATCCAACTCAGTTGGCACTGTTTTAACTTTTTGGGCTTTCTTTTCAGCTAATATTTCCTCAGTAAGAAACTCAACAAGTTCCCGTTCACCTATAATTTTATGTATAATAAATTAAACTATATAGAAGAAGAAATATAATACCTTTACTGTGAACTCCATGTTTTGTCATATTACAGCCACAACTACACAAGTTACTGTGCTTATTTTCAGCAAACGTTGTTATACCATTTTTAGAATTGCACATGTACCAAAGGTTTCTTGCTATTTGTCGTTGTTGGGCATTAATTTTATGAACTACATTATTTCCCGGATGTAAAAATAATCTAATCCCATTAATTCTGGTAACAAGTTTCAAGATATTATTCATTTTTAATTAATTTAAAGAGAAACCGGTTTAAGCAACGTTAACGTGTTTTAAGGTTATGCATAGAACATGTCATTATTAAACAGCGTTGCCAGGTCATATATTTTGTTTCGGTAAACCAACAGAATTATAAAATTATAGATTGCCTTTCTTCCTTCCTTCCTCCCGGCTGCTTGCCCGTACAAATCGTATGTCAACAAAAATAGTTGACATTTGTTTTATTTATATTCTGTGTTTATTTTCTGTAATTTTATTACTTTATTTGTGTTAACATATCGCACATGGGCGACAACAGTGTCATAAGTCAAAAAAACTGAATTTTGGGTTTTTTAGTGGAATAATTGTAAAATTACTCATAGTTCATACTGCAACAGTGGCATAATAGTATATTCTGTAACAAGTTTGGAATTCAGCATATTCCGCTCGAGTGAAGAGTTTGTCACACGAGCCGAAGGCGAGTTTGACGGTTTCACGAGAGCGGAATATGCAATTCCAAACGTGTTTCAGACTATACTTTTTCTACGTTTCCAAAAAATACCATAGAAAAATAATTTAATTGGAAGAAAGTGAGGTTGGATCGGTCCAAAATTTGTTGGATATTAAAAACAGAGATGTCGCCACGAGTGTTTATTCCACAGGTCTGTGGTTTATTCTGTAATCAGATGATAGAATATTTCATTCTGTAACACTTTACGGAATATATGTCATTCCATAGATAAAAGTGATATTAGAAGGGTCAAATTCCGTAATAGGAGTAGAAAAAGATATTTTTGAAATTAATCCCTACATGAAGACTTGTGTCCCTATCATAATTTTCATCAACAGTGTCATAAGTTGTGACAGTAATTTTATTAACGTGGGTTGGTAAAATTACAATATTTGTATTATGACAATAAAAGAATGAATAAGTAACCCTCCTCACCTTAAGACAATCGGTCATGTGTCTAGGGTCTCGTTTAACGCGTTCGCTTTCCTAGTGCTACCACCGCTATCGATGTTCAAATTAATAAAATCAATTAATGATTTAACAAGTAATCTAACAGAACCAAGTGCAACCTCAACTTATAAAGAACTTCACCATAATTAGTCCCCAACAGTTTCTATAGAACTAATAACTAATAACTGAGTATGCTTGCTGTTCTTATATATAAGAACAGCAAGCATAGCCAAAGAACTCATAAGTAAGGGATCACATACGCAGTTATTAATCACTCAAGTACAGATAAGCACTAGGCAAAAGAAACTCCTGTTTACTATTACTAAGCACATTTATGGGAAAAATAAATTACGTTCTATGCGAAATAATAAACAACCGCACAGTGCGGTGCAACGTTATCGATAGTCAGCCAGATCGGAATACGACTCGGACAAAGACATGGACACATACGAACAGGAATAGGGTTGCCAACTTTCGGTTATTGAAATAAAGGACAAATTGGGATTTTTTTCTTGGTGCCACGTCTACTTTACAGCTTTTCCGATTTTTTTTTCGGACGAGGTGGTGTAGAAGGGGCACCGCTTGACGTAGATGTCTGTGACTTTGGGACATCATCACTTGCATCGTTCATGATGATTTGATTGATGATGTTTAGCAAAAACCTGCAAATAAATAATGATTTGGCATTTAGGCAACAACTTGTTTAAAATAGAAAATGCTACATGAATCTGTTTAATTTAATTTTCCAATTAAAGTTTAAAAATATATTGCGACAAAAAAACTATGTAATTAATGTTATATATTAAAATACTGAATACCTTTTGACATAAGGAGTAAAGAAAAAATATGCATTAGAAATTTTTTAGATTTTTTGTGATACGCCACTGGTTTATCTCTGCACACTTGTGTTCTGTAAGGACATAGATACCAACCAACAAAGTAGCTGCGCAAAAAATAAAGCAAAACTCAATAAATACAAAAGTTTTATGCCCTTAAAGCTCTAATACCCTTCTGTATTTATTTACTCATCCAGCTAATAGCTTAAGCAATGATTAGAAAATTTAGTACCTATTTTAAAAAATCCATAACCACAAAATTAATTTTTTCATCGGTTTTTATCTTTCTGTTTACTCAGATGAAATTTGGACCAGTTCACAGGTTAAACTTTAAACATTTAATTTGTGTAAATAAATCCAAAAGCACTTCCCTTAGTTAAGATATTTACAATTTGAGCACATAACCTAAAATTTGAAAGAAATGCACTAGATTCTGTCATAAAAGTTGGCAGATTTTGTTTGAATTTACCTTCAGTACAAAAATGACATAACCAACAATTAATAAAAACGCCAAATTGACAATTTGCATTGTTAATTTTGTCATTTTTGTAATTAAGCTAAATTTAAACAATGTTTGTCGACTATTTTGACAGATTTTGGAAACACTGTTGTTACCAACCATAACATAATAAAGTTCCTAGTCGATCAGTGGCGTACTTTTTGGGGGAGCAGCTCGTGACACCCAAACACGAGAGATCTAAACTCGATGGGTCTAAAATTTAAAAGCGCGGTGGGTCTAAAATGTGTGGCAACGTCGCACTTCAAATAAGGTTTGGTTTACATTTTTCTTAAATGAAATGTAAATGTTCGGTCGGTTTAGACCTCACGAGTTGCTCCCCTCTGATCAGGGTTGGGTATCTACCTACATTTTTGTTTTCGACATGTAGAAAACCTTTTTCGACGTTTTCGACGGTAGAAAACGTAAAAAAGTAGAATACTGTCAAATATCAAAAAATGTGAGGTTATGCAAGTTTGTTGTTTATTATGATTTGTTAAATGTTGTGAAAAATCAGACACCTACCATAAATTTGAAGTTATTTGGAGTTTTTTAACATTATTATGGTGGGAAAAAAAGAGCCACGTTTGGTTGGGAGACCCCAACATAATTTTTGGCATGAGGGCAAATTTTTATCAATTATAGAGAAGTGGAAGGAGAAGGTCGAATAAGGTAATTTACGTAGGTAGAAAACCCTATAGGTTTTCGACGCAAGTCGAAAACAAGTTTTCTACCCTTTTCTACCAAGGTAAATTACCTAAGGTTTTCTACTGACCCAACCCTGCCTCTGATATACCCATAACCAACAAAATTTACAAAGTTACTGGTGCCATCATAAAGGTACATTGATAATATCAATTTGATATTGTTATTTATATACCAAAAAGCTTTATAACAATAACAAATGATCATAGATATATGTATGCAAGTGATGTTGTATTCTTATTCTATGGTTGACTTCTAAGGAGTGATTTTGACAGTTTAAAAATATATTCAGAGATGAAAGCAGTAACTTTATCTAATCTTTGATCTAATCTATGAGTAACAGTTGGTCAGTTTAGGATTGGTTTGTGACATGGCCATGAAATGGTTCTTCAGGGCAACACTAATACATGTCAGCTTCGTCAACCCGTCCTTTTGAAACATTCTAAATTTAGAAATAATATAATTTATATATTAGATCACCTTTTTAAAAATAATTTGACGAGCATTTAATATGTATTTTAAATATGTGGATACCTAACTAATATTGTATGTTTTCAGTACTTCCAGAGGATGCCGAAAGTCAAAACTGGTCGAGATAATTAATAAATAAAAATATCCATGTGGCCAAAAGCAAAAAATTCACGTGGCCTAATTGTTGGAACCAGTATATCATCAGTTTATCCCACCTACAGTGAGTGAGAGAAAGGGGAGAAACATACAAGAAGGATAGTAAAGTATAGTATGTGACAGGTGTGAAACAGAATCGGCAAAACTGGAAACATGACCCCTAATGGATAGTTGTGTGCCATTGGGTCCTGTTTGGCTTTAAGAACTTTTTAAGGAGCCTTATTGATATATGTAAAATAGTTTTAAAATGTAAGTATTATGTTTTAAATTCAAAACTTGTTGGCTTTTTAGCAAACCTTGGTTTTTCATTACTTAGGTTGAGTTGGTTCATAAAAAAGAATAATTTGGTTATTAGGCCTTGTGACAATACAAATTAAGCAAAAAAAATGCAAAATGCAAAATATAAAAACTTATAATTTATATTTCAAATGTTAAATCTTATAAATTTGTTAGCCTAAACATTAGTTTGTAACCAAGGTTTACTATAATTATTATAGTCAATAATTCTCTTTTGGATGCATTTTGCTTTTGTAACGTACATAATAGCTCCATAAATTTTTTTTAAAAACGTGTTTTTAAATATATCGTCCCCGTTCTGGCAAAAGTAATTAACTCCATTTTTGTCTAATAGTAGTTGACTACCTTCGCGATCATAGAACAATTATATCTGTGGTCTAGAAGAACTTATTAAGTGCAGTATTGTATTGCTAGCATGCTAAAAATACAATACTGCACTTAATAATTTTTCTAGACCACAGATATAATTGTTCTATGATCGCGAAGGTAGTCAACTACTTTTAGACAAAAATGGAGTTAATGACTTTTGCCAGAACGGGGACGATATTTAGATATGTAAAAGAGAAAAATTCAACCAAAAAGAATGCAACCTCGAATGTAACAGTGGACCATTTAAAAAAATCAATCTTTTTTAATGTTTAAGGTTACTTTTTTTAAAAGCTAGAATTTTTTTAATTAATAGTTTATCAGTCTAAATGTTTGTTATATTAGTTTTCTACCAAAAATTGCCCAATATATTTTTGCTTTAAATTTTATGTTTGTTAATTAAATTATTTTTAAAAGGAGTTGGAAAATGGAAGCCATGGGACACCAACCTGAGAGCATAAACCTTAATTACACAAATGCAACACAACCTACAAGTTTGAATCTATTGTACACTGGAGGACATAAACCCTACTTACGTGAAATTCAATGCAAGAAAGAAGACATTCTTGCAAGATGCAGTTCTACTGCACTAGTTGCATATTTTACCCAATACTATAAACTATAATCAATCTTTGCCATTGAATACACTAAATTCAATAGTGATACTTTCACATGTAACATTTTTGTACTGCATTTTGTAATATCTTAAAGTCAAATGATACCTATGCATATTCTTATTTTTGTAAAGAAATATTAATGTCATATTAAAAAAAATACCAAACAGTGAGGTATATTTTATTATTAGTTTATTTTTGTAAAAG